GTATTAGTCTATTTTTGTCTGTGTATTTAAGATAAGTTTCTTGTAGGCTGCATATTGGTGCAGACTGTTTTCTTACCCATTTTGCTACACTCTGTCTCTTGTGGTGCATTTAATCCATTTATATTCAGTTTTGATTATTGATATATGTGAACTTTTCTTGTTATACAATTTAATGCTTTGTTAATGTCATAGAACTTTGTAATGTTCAAAATAAGAACTTGGAAGAACACAACATATATATAAATAAAACATGAGAGCTGTTTTCATTTCATCCAAAGGAAATCCCAGTGCACTAGTACTGTTTGAGCAATTTAATGCACATAGTTTAAGCAGATGAACCTCAGTAGCACACTGTGTTAGTCTTGGTTGTCTAGAGAAATAAAACCAATGACATGCATATAAGAGGGGGAACCCCCCCGCCCCCCCAAATGGAATAAAGCTTCACTAAGTGAAGTTCCATAGTACATATTTTTCCCATTAGGCAAGCATTGAGCAACCTGCTCTGAGTAGTGCACCCAGGGGCATTGCCTGGCACCCAGTGGTGTTGCCTGGGAAGGTTCTTTCTGGTCACAGTGGATTTTCCTTTGTAAAAGCAGTATTGCTCATCCTTATTTTTGTAATGGCCAATTTAAGAGAACAGCATGCGGCTGTGAAATTTTGTTTGCTGCTTGGTAAAAATGCCACAGAAACTGTTGTGATGTTGAATACAGCTTACAAAGACAGCACTATGGGAAAAATCAAGTGTACAAACGTTTTTCTGAATGATGAGGGCAATGAATGTACAAATGCGCTTTACACAATTGATGTATGTATGGATTGTGATAAGAGTTGTATGAGCCCCTAATAAAATGATTAGAAAAAAAAAAGGCGAAATGTTGATTGATGACAAACCTTGTTCTGGACATTGTCAACTTCCAGAATGGATGAAAATGTCAACAAAATTCATGAACTTCCGCTCAAAGAGCAATGACAGACCAATGAAGAGATGGGGAAGTTACCTTGGGGCTCAGTGAAAGATGCTATTGTCACTTCACCCCCAAAAAGCTCGTCAACTGAAATAAAAGATCAAGACGATGCTCATTTTTTTTCTTCTTATTTTTATGTGAGGGGGATAGTAGTTCATTTCACTAGGTCAGACTGTGAATCAAGCTTTCTATTTAGAGCAGTAGTTCTCAACCTTTCTAATGCTGCAACCCTTTAATTCAGTTCCTCGTGTTGTGGTGACCCCCAACTATAAAACTATTGTTGTTGCTACGTCCTAACTGTAATTTTGCTACTGTTATGAATCAGGTGGCCCCTGTAAAAGGGTCATTCTACTCCCAAAGGGGTCTCGCTCCACAGGTTGAGAACCGCTGTTCTTTGGGGATGTGCTTTCTAAAGGTGGGATGGACTTAATAGGACCACCGTACAACACGTGAAGGACATAAAAGGAGGCGGAATCCTGCCAGGTGTTCATTGATGCCCTCTGACGTGGCCTGAAAGGGTTGCAGTACCATTGGTTACAGGGCGGCAGCAGTTGCAATCTATCACTCAGCCCTACCTCCTGCAAAGTTCCAGCGAAGTCTCCATAGAGCTGCTGTGGCTGAAGCATTTGTGTGGCTAAAGGACAGCCCCCCCCCCCCAAACTCCCCTTTCTTCTTGCTTATGTGTGTGTATGTGTGTGCGCGTGTATCTGAGTTTCCTTCTTTCTTCCCTTCCGCTGGATTCTGGTTTAAAAATGTAGACACACGGGGATGAAACCATCCTTCACAAAAACCAACCTCAGGAGAGGGTCTTAAGGAAAAGTAGTGGCCAGTTCTGATTTTGAATTTTGCTGATTGTTTGAGTCCCCCCCATCCTCCCCACCATTCATTTGTTGTTTGGACAATTTACAAGCAGGGGAGGAAAGGACAACAGGGGGTTCAATCATTCCTACCTCCCCCCAATCCTCTCCATTACCATTTGCTCAGCAAGGAGAAGTTTCAAAAAATAACAAATGCAGTGTCTCAGAAACAACTCAACGTCCGCTCAGAGGAAGACGCAAGACAGAAGGATGCAAAGAAGTGAGCAATGCACACATCCAAGGGCACGCTTCTTCTTCTTTTCAATCATTTTACTGGGGCTCGTACAACTCTTATCACAATCCATAGGTAAATCCATTGTGCCAAGCACTTTTGTACATTTGTTGCCCTCATCATTCCAAAGGGCACTCTTAAGGAACAAAATGCATCATAACTCCTGGAAAAGGGATTCAAATGAATAATTATAGGTATTTTCAATTGGCAGAGAAAAAGATCACGAGAGCTATGGAAAGGAACAGAAAAAAAATATAGAAGAACTCAAGAAAACACTACAAAAGCAATCTGACAAAATAAATGCAAAAATAAGAAACTATATAAAACCTCAACTAGAAGTTCAGATTAATACGAATAGATTACTTCTATCTTAATTAAGGCTAAGATAGTAGAATTAAGCACTGAAAGAGCAAAGCAGTAGAATGGAAGCAATAGAAGATTTATTATTGAGTTATTATTGGCCCCTCTACAAGCACAAAAAAGAACAAATCAATCTGAGGAGAAGCTAAGAATTTTGTGGGACATGGTCACGAAGAATAACTAACAAGGGGGAAATCCACAAAGAAAATAGCATGAGAACTGCTGGAGAAATACTTCTCTAACACTTTTAAAAAGTGAGAAATTGATTATTCAAGAAACTGCAGAAAATCACAAGGAGTATTGAGTACAAGACAAATCATCATGTCACACCATAGTCAAACTTTCAATATCAAGACCAAAAAAAGAATCCTAAGAGTAGTTCAGGAAAAATGAAAAATTACCTATAAAGGAGAACCAATAAGAATAATTTGATTTTTTTTTAGCAGAAACCTCTTACAGGAGTACTCAAAGTAAAACAAACTTACAAGACTGAAATTAGGGAGTCTAAGATATCATCTCATAATAGAGACAATTATGAAGGAATAGATTAGATGCAAATTAATAAAGAAGTCAAGTAGGGTACAAGAGAGGCTAATCTTGGGAGGAAAATAATAGCAAACAAGGTAACCTCGAAGATTATGGGAAATTATAATAAAAGGGATAGGGGCATAAGAGCAAGGGCTGAATAACAATAAAATAACAACATAGGGAAAATGAGAAAATACACAAACAAAAGGATCCCAGCATAGAAAGTTTTAAAGAAAAAAGACATCAACACACACAGAGCAAACGGCAGCATTAAATTCATACATTTCACATGGAAGCCCGAGTCCGTTTGCGGGGTTCCCACGTGAATTACGCCCCCGTGAATCCCCTCTGACATGTGACCACTGACGCAAGAGAGACTGTATTGGAAAGTAGACTAATGCAGATGTTGTTAGGTTAACATTGAACATGGTATCATTTCTTCTTCTTGACCCATTCTAAATTTGTTCAACTTTTATATTTTCTATTATCTTTTCAACTGAGTTATCGAAGTTTAATTTGGTAATTCTTGGTTTTTCTTTTTGTTTTTGTATGATCGTATATGAAACTCAGGATAGGAAAATCCATAGACATTAACTGGGTTAATTCCTGGGGTTCATGGCAGTGAGGGGAGAGCTAAATGAGGAGCTAATAATGAGCATAAGGAAGGAAACATTCTAAATTAATTGCACAAGTTTTCAAACCTATGCTTAAACTACTGAACTTTATGTTATGTAAAGACTGTTAACCATGCTACTCCTTGCTCCAGACAAAATTTCACTTATTTGTAATTAGAAATAAATATTTCACAATATGTATTACATATTGTTTTTGTGAGAAATTACTATGCTTTAATTATGTTCAATTTTTAATATTTAAAATATTCTGCATATCAGATATTTTACATTATGATTCATAACAGTAGAAAAATTACAGATATGAAGTAGCAACGAAAATAGTTTTATGATTGGTGGTCACCACAACCTGAGGAACTGTGTGAGAGGGTCGCGGCATTGGGGAGATTGAAAACCGCTGGTCTGGATGGTCTAGCGGGTTTGTGACCAGGGAATTCACCTACATTCTCATAGTCAGCTGCTCCAGGCGCCGACCCTCACTGTGGAAGGTACCACCAGTGAGATAGTTTATTGTGCCAGCCTGGCTGATAAACACAAGTGGGATTAACTGAAGGGCGGAGAGATAAATGGCTCGGTGAGCCTCACCTTTCTTGTCTCTCACTCTTTGATCATCGGACCAGTGTGCGGCTGCCTTGCTTGTTCTGTGCCTCAATTTATAGGCTACACTACCTGTGGACTGTAAGTTGAGGTCCCTTTAAGACATCTTTGGAGCTGGGGACTGGCAGTTGGGACTGGTGGTTGGTTGACAGTTGGTGATCTGCCTTGTGGTTGGCTGCTGTGCTGAGATAGCCTACCTCCATCTATAAATAGAGGAAGATCTGGCAGATGACGAGACTTGAAGGACTGCTAGTCTCACACAACTCTCTCTCACGGGAGTGAGTTGCATTGAGCCATTTGTAGTGCTTTATAATTTAACTGTTACTTTCTTGTATTATATATTTATCTGTATATGATTTAACAGTTCATTTCTTGTTACATATCTCATTATCTTTATAAATAAATATATTTAATTATCAGCAATTTGGTTTTATCTCTCTAGAGAACCCTGTTTAACACAGCCAGGCTTCTGGTTGGTCCTTTGAAAGTTCACTGCTCCTCTTGATTTTTTTATGTGGGTTCTGTTTTGTTGGTATTCGGCTCACTTATTGTTCATGTCTCCGAGGTTCCAGTCAGGTTTTCCTCTGTACGTGTTTTCTCCGCATCTTCATTGAAGCGAGATTGTGCGGTGTGTCTCTCTATGGGGCCATTGGTACCAGGGTCTGGTTGGTCTTTCTGGATGTCAGGTGACCAAAGTAAGGGAGTTGACGTTTCCCTTTCTTCACTTTGAAGGAGCACAATTCCGGTACTCATATCAAGACTGCAGTTCTCAGTGCATTTTCCCTTACATGACAATATTGATGAGAACAACAAAAGCACATGAAGAGATGGATGACATGACAAGATTGCTGTTTGAGTGCTGAGAGACGAAATGATATTAAAAATTGAAGTGGTGAAAACAAAAATCTTGGAGGTGGGTGGGACTGGAAGTTGCCATAATAGAAAACTACAACTGACCAGCCTTGCCAAGAGTGGGATTAGCAGGGAACGTTGAGGAGTGGTCAGTGCACGCTTTCACTTTGGAATGACCTGTTAGATTCCAGTTCCAGTCTGTTGGCAGTGACTTGCTAGAATGGGTAGATAATTTGTTTATACCTGTGTTAGGCTGAGTAGCGCCGAGAAACAAACTCATAAACACACATATGAGTATAAGAGAGAGTTTTATGTAAAAGAGCAATTGAACATGGAGAAAACATCCCAACCCAGTCCAGTCCAAGCCCATAAGTCCAATATTAGCCCACGTGTCTGATACCAATCTATAAAGTCCTCTTCAGACTCACGAAACACATGAAGTGATGCCGAATGCAGGAGGATCACAGGCCAGTGGGTGGGAAGTGTTGGAGATCCAGTAGGCATCTCAGCCTATAGATAGTTACATGATGATCCATAACAGTAGCAAAATCACAGTTATGAAGTAACTGGCAGGGGTCTCCATGTGGCTTCTCCAGGTCCAGGATCTGGCTGCATCAGGGTAGGTCCATGTGGCTTCTTCAGGTCAGGGCACTAGTATAGTTCCACGTGTCTTGTCAGATGCAATGTCTCCCAGGGAGTGAGCAGAAAGAGAGGTGTCTCCCACCTCCAAAGAAGAAATACTGGATTTCCCAGAATTCTCAGGAGAAGGCCATGCCCACACAGCGGCCTCACTCGTTATATCTTGATTGATAGGCCAGACTCCACCCCTTCACTGACAAATTGACACCAGAGTATGAAACTACCACAATACCTAATGATAACAGATTTCAAAATACAAATGTAAGAAACTAAGAAAAACTGGATAAATGTATATATGAAGTAAAATATTTTATTACCCTATTTACAATAATTGATAGAAACAGTTATTAGACAATAAACATCGCTGTATAGATGATTTACATATTTTCAAACAATTTGGCCTAACTGACATTTATAGAAAAATTGGCTCCAAAAGTACAGAATGTACGTTCTTTTGACATGCACATAGCTTTGTTATCAAACTAACAAGTAGTTGTGTCATTTCCCCCAGGTCCTTGAAAACATTTTGTCCGGTCAGTTCACTCTTAGGAATGCAGTGGCAATTATTTTTCTAGTCATTTTTAAAGTCAGTTTTTGACTCCTGATGACCTTGTGTGTGTTAGAGCAGAACTGTGCTCCATAGGGTGTTTAATAATCAATTTTTTGGAAATAGATAGACTGGCCCTGCTTCTGAGGTGCTTCTGGATAGGCTCATGTGGCCAACCTTTCATTTAGGAGCCAAGCATATTTACCATTTGTAATCAACCCCCCCCCCCACACACACACACACAAAATTCCAACTAGCAGTAGTTTAGTGTTTATACCTACTACAGGATATTTCTAAATCTAAACAATGGTTGCAGAAACAATTTACCACAGAAATAAAAACATTGCCTGTCTGTAAGAGACCAATTCTTTATAGGCATAATATTTTTTCAACTACCTTATATACTAATATCACATCTGTGGTGAGTAATCGTTTCACTGAATCTATTATAGTTTAGTTAGTAACAGAATGCCCTGTCAAATATCAGCAAATAAGTCAGCCACAATGATGGGCATTTGGTTTCTAAAGCAATTTGAATTTCTATAAAATTATCAGATAATGCGGTGAGCCTTGATTACATAAATATGAATTTGGAAGATCTTTGGTTAATCTCTTCTTATTTCTCATACCTGTCATTGTATTAGTAGTACTACCACCTCAGAAGGTGTCTTAGATGCCTCAACTCAGACTGATTTGGTCAAAGGTGCAGATATTGATGATTCTGGGGCATCTTTGATGAAGGAAAAATCATCAGCTTCCTTTTAACTTAATTATTCTCCTTGCTTATCTTTTTGGGAAAAGGCTAAGCATTCTGGAAGTACATATGAATTGCTTTGTCATAGTAGTGGTTGGCTGTAAGCCTTATGTCTGGAAGCTTGTTGAATGCAGTGTCACATGAAGTGAGGCCCGTAAATGCTCCTCGCAAATTTGCAGAGGGGATTCGAGGTCCTGTGAGGATGAACTTCCATCAGGATTGTCGAAAGGGGAACGCCCAGCTGGGTGTTGAGGGTCTGCCTGGGGAATTTTACTGTCACCAAGATGATTTCTTGCTCCCTTTTTCCTTAGTCATGTTCCTATTTTAGCACTTTACAAACTTCCTTAGATTTATTATCACCTGATGTAACGATGAAAGAAAAAAAAGCAGACTATGAATTGAAAAGTTGATAACATTTTTCCTTTACTTTTTCAGCCTGGAGAGTTAACCACCAGTTCACACAATTTTAAGAACAAGGCCTTTAAGAAATCCAAAATCTGTGGAATTTGCAAACAAATTATTGACGATCAAGGTATCTCTTGCCAAGGTAAGTCTGTGTTTGTATTTATCTTGCTAAAACAAAGTAAAAGAAATCAAATCAAAGCAAGCGAGAAAGAATGCAAACAAAAAAGAAATGAAAACATTCTTTTGGGAGCTTACAAAAAATAAATTACGGAATTCCCCTCCTTAGCCTCTATTTGTGGTAGGAACCAACCTTATTTATACAAATACATGCTCTTGTGAAAAAATTTCCAGAAAGAACAAATCTACTTATAGGGTTTACTTTCTAAATCTTACTAAAGTTTACCAATGGCAATTTTATTTCATACTGAGACCAGGGTTGATTTTGATATGTCCCTTTCAATATATTGTTATGAAATTACTCCAATCACTAAACGTGTTAGGGTTTGATGTTTAAGTATCAGGTAATCGGTGGTGGGAACTTACTGCTAGTTTTGTGACTACATATTTACAAATTTGTACAATAGAGATGTGACGATTTCTTTTGCTTCCCTTGAGCCCCTGGAATCAGGGCTGGAGGAGAGGGGTATAGTGGGGTTACAGTCACAAAACGGGAGGCAGTTTCGGATGCTGTGGCCCTTGGCGAATGCTTGGTGTTGCTCTTTGGCATTCTATAATCTATGGGGCTTTTAATTTCCTCTCTGGAGAATTCCGAAGGTCTTGGTTCCTGGGCGTCTGTTGAGATGAGGCTGCCTCTTCCTCTCTGTAGCCTGCCTAGCGGATGGTCCTTGATGGCTGTTTTAAATGAACTCGGTTGTAAAAGGAAGATGTAGACTAGTTAAACTTTAGTGGGTATCGATAGCGTGGTCAGGACTTGGTAAGAGTCTCTTGGAATTCCTTTCATGTTAAAGGACCTGGGTCAGGGCAGGAAGGCATGTGCGCTGTTAATCTCTGAAGAGCTATTCCTAGGTGGGCAGGCTGAAGGAACCTGCCCTTTGTGGGAGCACTGCTTTATCACCTCTCTTTCTTCCTTTCTCTCACTCACTCTCTGTGGTTCCCACCCCGAGGCCTATTCTTGGCTTTGGAGTAATGGAGGAGAAGTCCACCATTCGACTTGCCTCCCCGATTCTGTTTCAGGGTGAGCTTCTCAGAATGTTTCCCTCCTTTTTGGCCCTGGACATGGTCTTCTTATGAGTGGGGCTTCTGAGCATCCCTGCACCCCATAAGAGTGAGGTTGGTCCTTTAGAGCTGAAGCGTCACTGGTGTGCGCACATATGAGGCAGAGATCGGCTCACCCCCTGATCAGAGTACTGAGTGATCTGTCTGAGGCTCCTCTCCACAGCACACCACCACCCACAAACTCACTCAGAGATGCGGAGGGGGGCCTGACAGGGTCCTACTTTCCTGTGGACACACAGAGCTCCCACACAGGACTTGGCTTTTCCTTGTGACCAGGCGGGGTGCTACTAGGAATCTTACAGAATCACAGTGCTGTGACAGAGCCTGGATTATGCATGCGCCTTTGGCCACCATAGTCCGGTGGGCTTGTTCAAGGTTTACGTACAGAGTTGTAGGCACGAGAGAACCACGGGGAGCATGCAGCTATTGAGGGCGTTTGCAGCTGAGCTGCCCTCATTCTAGCGGTGGTTCTCAACCTTCCTGATGCCGCCACCCTCTGTTACAGTTCCTAGGTTGTGGTCACCCCCAACCATAACATTATTTTCGTTGCTGCTACTTCATAACTATAATTTTGATACTGTTATGAATTGGGCGACCCTTGTGAAAGGGTCGTTTGACCCCCAAAGGGATCACGACCCACAGGTTGAGAACTGCTATTCTAGAGCTACAGGGAAGAGTCAGGAAATAAGTGTAAGTGGTGAACCTGGAGGGAGAACGCTAGGCTTGAATGGTGACCTGGGGCAATCACTCCAGGGCACTACACACCTCCTCCTTTCCGTGTGCCATCTCTGTTGGTATTCCCAAGGGCTGGGGCCGGCCAGCAGCCTGTGAGCTATTGAAATCATCGGAGCCAGCCTCCAAAGAAAGCACAGATCAGATTTAGGTGATAATCATTGATATGGAAAACCCTGTGAGCCTGGTACATTTCTGGGATGGTTTCCCTCAGTTCTTGCTTCGCAATGCAGCAGAAGCACTTCTGTAAATCCAGGTCCCTTTATGAGAGAAAGGGAAGTTTCGGATCTCTGCAGAGCATGGAAGGCCACACGGCGGGGCCTGTGGGAGATTTCACAACTGAAAATGGCCACTTCAAGGATCACGAAAAACTATGTGTAAAAGGGCCAGAAAGTGGAGTCCACAGAACCAAAAAAGGAAGGGAGAGAGAGAGAGAGAGAGAGAGAGAGAGAGAGAGAGCCCTGAGAAGGCGCTAGCAGGCGCACCACGCACAGGGAGAGATCCCACACTCAGACCTGCAGGTGAGCACCCAAAAGAGAGGGGCAGCCTGTCCTCTGTGCTAGTGATCCCCTCTATCCCCACAGGGGGGCCGGTGGGACAGGCGTGGTTGAGGGTATTGGCCCATCTTAGTCACTGAGTTCAGGTGCACCTGTGACGTGATGTTGCCAGTGCCCAGTGTATGTCCTGGTTAACCTTCACCTGTCCTCGGTGACCTTAGCCTGTGCTTGCCCAGCCCTGAATTTTCCCCAGAGATGTCTAATGTGTGCATGGACAGCTACTTTTTGTTTCACGTAAGCATTTGGTGGAGACAATCTCCTCTATTGCTACTCTTGCTACCTTTCGAGCCCACGTTTGGGTTGCATCCTGGCTTCACCCACTGGAGTTGTTGTGAATCATCTATGACCTTTCCATCCATTGCTTGTCAAGCCTGTGCTGTAAGCATGAGACAGGAGCTTCTGCTTGCACAGTTCTCTGAGGTCTCCAAAGGTTAAGTGTTAAGGGGGAATAGCCCCACCTCCCCCCAGAGGAAGGCACTACAAAGGCTAGCACTGAGGCTACCGCTTGGGGAGAGGCTGTGTCTGATCAGAGCATATGAGAGTAAACTAAGAGGGAAGGACAAAGAGAGCGTGGACTGCAGCCCCGAGGACGATATTCCTGCTCAGAGCAGCCAGTGCACAGAGAGGTCCATAGGGCCAACCCCGCCACGAGACACGACGTCCCTCACTGACCTATAGCACAGTGGGGGTCTGCACCACAGAGACAGTGTGGAATTATACCCTGTCTGACCCCACCACACCGGGGCAAAACACTAAGGGCATTCAGCAGAGTAGCAAGAGGAGCAAAGCAGTAAAGTCCCCGAGGAATACCAAAAATAGACTTTGGGACCAGGGCGTGGCACCCCATCCAACGCAACCAATCTAAAATCAATGGCAAGGAGGATGTAGAATGCTTGGTGGGACTTGATCAAATGCAGTGTAGTTGAGAGGAATTACTGAAAGCCGAATGAAGGTGGAACATGATGGTGGGACAAGAGGAAAGTAAAAGGAAATAGAGGAAAGAACTAGGAGGCAAAGGACATTTATAAAGTTCTAAATACAGGCATGCACATATGTAAATATATTTATATATAGTGATAGGGAAATAGATCTATGTACATATATTTATATGTTAAATATTAAGGTAGCAGATGGACAATGGGCCTTTACTCAAGGCATGAACATTTTGTTTTAATAACCCGGCATTCTGTGATGCTCACTTCCCTGACATGTTCACTGAAGACAAAATGGGTGCTTAAGCAAATGTGGCGAAGAAAACTGATGGTGCCCAGCTATCAAAAGATATAGTGTCTAGGGCCTTAAAGGCTTGAAGATAAACAAGGTGCTATCTAGCTTAGAGGCAACAAAACCCACATGGAAGAGGCACACCAGCCTGTGTGATCATGAGGTGTCCATGGGATCAGGTAGCAGGCATCAAAAACTCAGAACACAAAAATCATATCAATGTGAATGAGGGGGAGGGTGGAGTGGAGACCCAAAGCCCATATGTAGACAGTTGGACATCCCCTCACAGAAGGGTCACAAGGAAGAGACGAGCCAGTCAGGGTGCAGTATAGCACCAATGAAACATACAACTTGCCTCAACTTCTCTAATGTTTTCCCCCCACCCCACTATCATGACCCCAATTCTACCTTACAAATCTGATTAGACCAGAGCATGTACACTGGTACAGATAAGAACTCAGAACACAGGGAGTCCAGGACAGATAAAACCCCTCAGGACCAATAATGAGAGTAGTGATACTAGTAGGGTAAGGGGAAGGTCTGGGGGAAAAAGGGGAAACGATCATAATGATCTACATGTAACCCCTTCCCTGGGGGATGAACAACAAATACGTGGGTGAAGGGAGACAGCGGTTGATGTAAGACATGAAAAAAATAATAATTTATAAATTATCAAGGGTTCATGAGGGAGGGAGAATGGGGGAGGGAGGAAGTGAACTGATACCAAGGGATCAAGTAGAAAAAAATGTTTTGAAAATGCTGATGGTAACATATGTACAAATGTGCTTGACACTATGGATTGTAATAAGAGCTGTAAGAGCCCCCAGTACATGATTAAAAAAAAAAAGGAGCATTTTCTGTACTATGAGATCCATTGTCCTCCATCCAGGCCTGCTACAAATGCCTGGAGAAGCTTCCCTGTGTCTTGCCCTCCATGTATTAATAGGGACCCTAGAGCCTTTCTCTACTCCTCAAGAATACAATGGGAATTGCAGTTCGAGGAAGTCTATATTTTGAACCTCATGCCTTTGGTATTATCAGCTCGGTTGTATACCTATTTGTGGTTTCTCAAATGTGGAACTAAGGTAAATGAAAATATCATTAAATTAGGTGATATGTGGCTGGCATCCTTGAGAGCCATGGAGTTGGACCCAACTGGCTCTTTCCTAAGCCCTTCTCACACCCTGACGTTGGTGGACTCAGTAGGGGCTCCAACCTGCACTGCCTCAAAGGTGTGGTGCCTCTGTCGGTAGAGGGCTTGAAGGGAACAACAGCTCATGAAGCCTGATGCTGCCCTTACATTTCTTTGATGGAGGTGGCATGGTGTGCACACAGCAACCACAGAGCACACCGTGTGTGTGCTGTTCTCTTGGCTCATCACTCTGTGGGTTGG